ACAAAAATGTGCAAATGACTTCTTTAAACTTGTAAATAATAAAATAATTTTTAAAATAAAACAAAAATTCAATTTAGCTTTACAAAAAAATTTTTCGAGGACGTGGCTGACGCCACGACCCCTTTTAAAGATTTGGGGTCCCGGGCCCGCAAAAAATTTGGTGAGCACCCCAAAGAATTTTTCGAAGTGAGTGGCTAACGCCACGCACCTCCACACAAAAAATTTTCGTTGCCTCCCCCCGCCCCCGAAAAAAATTTCTATGTACGCCACTGTTGGCTGTCATGTTGTTCAGCTAACTTAAGCACAATCACCAAAATGAATCATTTTAGCTGGTACTATTCGATGAAAAGAATTGCGCTCTGAGCAACATATCATCGAGTTACCATGCTGGTACCATCGTCTAAGACTTCTTAACGATTACCCAAAATTGTCGCTTATGTGACTCAAGCATATAGAGCGTGATCAGCATTGGTGGCGAGATCAAATTTTCAGATTCGACTCAGGACCAGTGACTAGAAGGCATCCAAATGGCACTACTACGATAAATCGTCAAACTATACTCATTGCTCAACATAGGCAACCGCGTATGAGATTTGTGCAGGTTAGCAGTAAGTCAATTCTAATGTTATCTTTATCGTATATATTCAGCAACTTCCTGGTCTGGTAGAACTAACACACATAAGTTCACCAGGGTTCCATACAATGGCTCCGCCACTGCGCAAGAAGCTGAAGAAGTTGAAGAAGAAGAAGATTCCTCCGCGAGTGATAAATCCTCATCCTCAACGAAGCGCACAGAACCAGCCTACGTCATCGTCCAAAACAGAGCTTGTACCCGTAGAGAGCAATCGCAGTGAGCAGGCCACCAACCCTACAAGGAATAGAAGCCAAATTCCAAGAGAACAATCAAACCCAGGGAAACAAATCTTGCAGAATGTCCAAAATCATCGCATTAGAACGCAACAGGATTCGCCGAGGCAGAGACAACAAGAAAAGAAACATGATAATCTTTCAACAAAGGAAAATATTGCTCCGACTTTGCCACCTATTGTGTTGCCTCCTGCAACCCAGCCAACACTCTCATTAACTCAAACTCTGCCACCTATTGTGTTGCCTCCTGCAACCCAGTCAACACTCTCAGTAACATCAACTCTGCAACCTATAGTGTTGCCTCCTGCGACCCAGCCAACACTCTCATTAACACTTCCGCTGCTTACACCGAATACTCCGACTACTAGAGCAACAACTCCAGAAACTACGTCTCCGCCGCCTACCCCACGACAAGCAGAAGTGCGCGATATGGTTATCGACGCTGGAATACTATTTGAGACCACCCCACGTCCAACGACTCTAGTGGAGGCGGAGCCGATAGAGCTAATTCGGTGAGGCAAGATGTGTAATCTTCTCCAAGAAGTATTATGTTATGTTTTTGAAAGTGTTAATTGACGCTAGGCCAGTTGTTACATCAGTGCCTGCAAAGAAAGTGAATTTCGACGAGATTCTTGCAATGGATGCGGAGTATTACGATGAATACGAGGAGCCAATAGATGAACCGGTTAATTCCGAAGAGTCCAACACCGAAGTAGGAAAGTCGAATTCTTTGAACTCAAATGGAAACGTATTTTAGGTTCTTCCAACTAAGGTATCTGAAACAACTACAACACCAGCATCCGGTGTACGCTCAACCATATCAACGATTGCACCAATAGTAGTACCTCCACCAGACAATATTCTCAACAGAATTGATGATAGAACTGCGAATCTCATACCAGGTAAGCTGTCTTTGAGAAGCAAAACTGTCTGCCGTTAGTGGAGTATGAACAGAAAAAAGGCGCAAAGGAGCTGAAAATCAGCTACTGAACCTTGTTCCTCCAACATCATTCGAGGAAAAGCAAGCAGTGCCAGGGCAACCTACAGAGTGGACTCCCATCGTTTTCCCTGTAGATCATCGTAAGTTAGGGATCTTGAACATGAAGAAATAAAACCTTACATATACCTTACAATCTTTAGATGTTCTATAGTCCCTGTATATTTACGAATCAGTCTAACAAGTCTACGCAATCAGTCTACACACATCAGTCTCTCACAATTTCAAACAGTTTACAATTTCAGAGACATCAACAGCACGTCCAACTGCTGCAGAAGATTATACCGAAAACGTTGGTAAGTTTTTGAGTGCATCCATTCGTTTTCCTGACTCATTACAAGCTATTTCTTTGTCTTACATACAGCAGCTCCCTTTCGAGCTGCTCAAAAACAGCGGATAATACAGGGTGTCCCAAAAGTAAGTAAACACTTTTAAATCGTCAATAACCTCTCCTCCCACTGAGCCTTTTTTTGAACGAAGGGCCATTTGGTAGAGGAAGCTTCA